CTTAAAGAACAGTGCCAAATTCACTAATCTTCTTTTCCTCCTTTTTCTTAAAACTTAAATCTTTACCTTTTTCTCTCTTATTTACTTAAAAACTTAGTCAAGTAGCGTACCAGTAAATTACAACACCTGAAATTTACTGTTTTTGTCAATTCTGAGTGGAATTTTTATGCCGAAAATATATAACTTGTGTCATTTATTCATATAATATTCTTAACAAATGCTTGTATGTTTAATCTGTTCATATATCTAAAATAAATTACTTTATTTTGAGAAATCTGTTCAGGTCACAAGTTTTCATTTTTTCTCATTCATGATCAGAGGTGTGTTTCATTAAAACCTGATTTCATTTTGCAAGATCTTGAGGGATTATCTTTGTGAAGATTAGGCTGGTCCTAAGTTTCATAGAGTAATTCGCTACACACTAAACTGATTAGGAGTCGTTAATATTTCAACTTGGAGAGACACGCAAACAGACTGAAAACAGACTGAAATTAGGACGTGCAGTGATGTAGTTGCTGCAGTGCGTCATCTGATGACAGAAGGAACAAGCAAAGAGGATTTCCTGATCGGGTCGTAAAGTGCGACAGCCTCAATCAGGGGAGGAACATTGTTTCTATTTTGTAGATTTAAGATTCAGAGGCAGCTCTGCTCCTGAGGTGACTGACATCTCAACACAAAGCTGTTTACTCAGGTAATCTGGCTGGTGGAACACAGTAAGGTGAAGGGAAATCATATTACGATGAGATGTTTCCCCCAGTTTCAGACTTATCTGTCGGAAAAGGTAAAGAAACATTAAAATGAGCACATTTCAAATCCTGCAAATGTCTGAAATGTGAAACTTTAAAGAAAATTAAAGAGTTTTTATGTTACATTTTAGACCAGTTTGAAAGACAAGCCACATTAAATGTCCCAGCTGTTCAAGATTTTATGATTTAGTTTCTTGTTCCTTTTAACTTCTCTGCTGTGACACAAACCAGGAKGAGCAGTCCAGTGATTGTGTCTCAAGATACTGTATGACTTTAGTTGCTGCACACATCTGTCTAAGAAGCTTTCCTCCACTTCCAATCCATCATGATCCACAACCATTTTGAGGCCTTTTCTGCAACTTTGAGCCTGTTGAGTTTTGTTTATAACATGCTCATATAAAGCTGTATTCACAGCGTACATTTCTCAAGTCCCTATACTYCTTAGACATGAATCAAGTACAACACCCCCATCTGTGGCATTGCTCAGTGTATTTCTCGTTAGCCTCTCTCATCCCACATGCTTGGATTTTCTTCAGAAACTGTAGTCTACAATATCTGGTCTGAGGCTGGTTTTTGTGATGTCCTCTGGATATCTGAGTCATGCAGATCCACCCTTATTTCTCACCTACTGCTCCCATGAAGCCATGTTGAACCTTTTACTGGTCCCCTGCTCAAAAGCAAAATGATCTGGTGTTTTATAGTTAAGATGTCTGATCTGGTTAATGACACTACAGATGGACTCTACCACCTTTAACACCTGTTTGTGAGATAGTCTTTCATTGTATTGAAATATTATTACATGATCTCAAAAGTACAACATTGCATTTTATAAATATAGAACACATTCTTGTAATAGTTTTTATTTTAAAGTGGCAGAAATGGGATTCCATATTTCATACAATTTGAAAAATGCACAAAAAACTCTTTAACAGTCCCCTGGCTCTGTGTGCAAATCTGAGTTTTTTTCTAAAAACGTTTTTTTTTTTCTCCAGTCCTGGGAAAAAAAACCTGCATTTAAATTCTGTACTTTTTTTTAYACAGCAGGGAAACTCGTATGACCTCATGGAGGTATTTAAGAGCGCAGGTTCTGCATCATCTCACTGAACCGTCGCATTCAGAATCACATTTAGCATCCAGTCGAACAGAAAATCCATCTTCCCCTTCGCTCCGCCTGCCGAGGAGAAATGTAGTAATGTGTGAGGAAAAATAATAACATAAAACTATATTAGAGATCCTCTTTGCCTACTGTAGCAGAGATAGTATTGATTTTGGGAGAAATATTTCACAAAGTCTCTTCAGAGATCCAATGCTAATGCTGACTTTTTTTTCTTCAGTAGATGTCAGAGCAACGTGTGCTAGTATGAACATGTGGTGTAAATGTCATGACCATCCGTACACACGTTTTTGAGTTATGCTGTCCACAGACAGACAGACAGACAGACAGACAGACAGACA